AGCCTATGTGATCCAGACTCCTGTGTTCTCTAACATGTGAATGTGGGACAGTGGTATACCACAATATATTTGCATGATAATAGCTGCACATATCACAGTCCAAGTAATACACTTTTCTGGATGGGTATGCACCTGGTCTAATATCCAGGGATTAATAAAATGTATAACTACTTTTAGATATAACTATTCTTTAAAAAAGGAATATCATCATTCAATAAAGTTATCTTGTAGGATGGAATAATAGTATGTTGTTATTCTGGTACATGCCTCTTCAGATCATTAGAAACCGGAGGTTATCAGATGTCACCAATAAAAACTGAAACTGCCCAGATTGACGTGATGGGCAGCACAGTGGCTAAGCATTTAGCACTTCTTCCTGAAAGCACTAGGGTCGTTTGTTTCGAATCCCATCCACAGCACCACCTGCCTGGAGTTTGCATGTTCTCCCTGTGCGGCTTTCCTCCCACACTCCAACTACATGCTGGTAGGTTAATTGGCTCCTGTCTAAATTGGCCCTAGTATATGAATGTGAAAGTCTTTAGATTACACACCCCTTGAGGGCTAGGGACTTATGTGAATGTACAATATATTATTATGATTACACAAGATTTATATAGCGTCAACAGTTTACGCAAATATATGTAAAGCGCTGCATAATATGACGGCACTATACAAGTACCTGTAATAAATACATTTACAGCTAGTTGGATTTATGGTCTCAAATGAAATATGATCCAATAAATCCATGGGGGGGATGAACAATTTTAAATTGTTTTTAAACCATTGTGTGTGTGATGCATTTATTGTGACATTATTTGCAGTATTTTATGAGTGTCTGTCACTTTGCACTCTCCTATCATTATGTGCCTTATTAGTATAGGAGCACTGCAGCACAACCGACTATCTTCTTGTGTTGTTTCTGCCTCTTTTTCTTTATTATTTATACTGGATTTTAAATAATTTAATGAAGCATTAATGGATACAAAGTTGCATTGATTATTGTGTTATAGATCATTCTGGAGTTTAGCTTTAAGGAAGAGTGATGGACGAGGCATGAAGGGAAGTAACAGGTGACCATGGGTGGAAAAAACAACAAAGGATGGATAGAGTAATATTTACACTCAGCAGAAGAACACCCCCAATTAACATACTTCTTGCTTGCCAGAGTTATACAGTATGTACACGATTGTAAGATCTCACAAGTAAGGCCCCCTAATCGTCGGCTTGAGTTGTATCACAACTATACTGTCTCCATTTATTTTGTAAAGGGCTTCTCAAACTGTTGTTGCTATATAAATCTTAGATATAATAATAAGAATGAAGTGCGAAATATGTATTGAACAGTATAATTGAAGTATTACAAAACCCACAACAGTAAAATTAGTCTGTATATAAAGTAAAGCATGCTTGTATATACTCACTGTGGAGCCTAAGGAGTAATTCTCTGCAATGTGTAAAAAGGATGTTTGATCCTGTCTATTCTGATCCTCCCCTTCTTCCATATTCCCCAATCTATCTGCTTTTAGAATAGAGGCCTAGGGGGCACTCTGCACATGCTCAGTTTGTGATCAGCACAGGGCCAAACAGCGCTATCTGAACAGAAGGTCAGGGGTTATGCAGCCTCATAAGTCAGTCAGAGGAAAATTAAAATCCTTCTACAAGATTAACCAGTGCTAAGCCAAACACTGATAAAAGTCCCAAGACTACATACTGCTGATGAGAAAAGGTATTTAGCAGTTTATGTTTACTGAAATAATTACATTTCCATGTTCTGTGTATTGTAGAAGACTGGATATAGTGAATGCAGGGTCCTGGGTTTAGTAACACTTTAGGCCAGTGGTCTCCAAACTGTGGCTGAGGGCTGAATGCGGCCCTTTGCTTGCCTTTATCCAGCCCTTGGGGCACTATTCCCTCCACTGACACCAAAATGGGGCAGAATTCCTGCCACTGACACCATTAATGGGGTACTATTCTTTTCACAGACACCAATGATAGGGCATTGTTACCAATGCCAGGACTTTTTCTACTCCTACTAGCCGCAGTCTGGCCCTTCTAAAGTCTGAAGGACAGCAAACTGGTTCTTTGTTTAGAAAGTTTAGAGACCCCTGCTTTAGGCATTAGCACCTGTTGGTCTTTTTTCAATCCTATTATGCTGTTATGTGGTTGTGAGTACTGACTGCCAACAAGAAGAGCAATTCTGAACTTTTTCAGTTTACAGATCGATCTGCCAGTTTTCAGCTTTGAATATGTAGGCCATGGTTTAGGTAAAATTGAACATTGGGCAAACCATATTTTTGGAACAACTGAACACATCAGATTTGAATAAATACTGCACCTAGGTGGATATGTACACACCAGCAACAACCAAACCACTAAAGTGGGCACAGACCATTCGTTGAGAGCGAAGCACATCCTACATTGTAGGTACCTTTCATGTTTCCCTTGCTCCATGATCAGTTAAATTAACATTACAATAGTGGGTATCCACAACCTTCCAACTGAATGTGTTGAAATAATTTAATGAATCGCATGCGTCAATGAAAGGCAAAAACACAAAAGTCATAAATATGTAAATGCAATAACAATATACAGTCATGGCCAAAAATATCCGCACCCCTGCATTTTTGGCAGATAATGCACCACTTTGCCCAGAAAACTGTTGCATGTTTATTTCTGTTGCTTGTAGTGGTATGACACAAAAATGTGGAGAAACAATAATCCAAATGACACATTTCACACAAAACCCTCAAAATGGACTGGACAAAATTTCTGGCACCCTCAATTTCATATTTGGTAGCACACACCTTGGAAAAAATAACTGAAATCAATTGTTTCCTATAACCATCAATGAGTTTCTTCCACCTCGCTACTGGAATTTTGGGCCACTCTTCTTTTGCCAACTGCTCCAGGTCTCTTAGATTGGAAGGGTTCCTTTTCCCAGTTACTGTTTTGAGATCTCTCCATAGGTGCTTAATGGGATTGAGATCTGGACTCATTGCTGGCCAGTTCCGTACTCTCCAGCACTTTGTCCTAAACAATTTCTGGGTGCTTTTTGCCATGTGCTTTAGGTCACTGTCCTGCTGTAAATCCCATGACCTCTGATGGAGACCCAACTTTCCAACACTGGGCCCTTTATAACACCCCAGAATTATTTCTTTGGTAGTCTGAAGATTTCATAATGCCATGCACATAAACAAGACATCCAGTGCCTGAAGAAGCAAAGCAACCCCAAAACATCAGTGAATCTGCACCATTTTTGACTGTAGGGACTGTATTCTTTTCTTTAAAGGCCTCATTGCTTTTTCTGAAAACAGTAGAATGAGGGGCTTTACCAAAAAGATGTAATTTTGTTTTGTCTGTCCCCAGCACATTTTCCCAAAAGGATTTTGGCTTCCTTAAGTACGTTTTGGCAAACTCCAATCTGGTTTTTTTATGTTTCTGTATCAGCAGTGGGGTCCTCCTGGCTCTCCTAGCATAGCGTCCCTTTTCATTCAGATGGCATATAGTGCGAACTGATACAGTTGTACCCTGTACCTGAAGGTCAACTTGAATTTGTCTGGACGTTGATCGAGATTCTTTATCCACCATTCAAACAATCCTTCATTGCAATCTTTGATCAGGCTTCTCTTTCGTCCACATCAAGGGAGATTAGTTACAGTGCCATGGGATGTAAACTTCTTGACAATATTGTGCACAGTGGACACAGGAACATTAAGGTCTGTTAATTGATAGATGAGTTTAATTACAAATTACAGGAGCATCACAAACTTGGAATTCATATTATTTCTTACAATTTTGAGAAGGTGCCGATAATTTTGTCAAGTCCATTTTGGGTTGTTTGCATGGAATGTGTCAGATTTGGCTTTTTGTTTCTCATTTTTTTTGTGTCATACCAATACAAACAAAAGAAATAAACATGAGAACGCCTAAACAATTGTAACTGCAACTATTGTCTGGGTGAAGTGGTGCATTATCTGACAGAAATGCTAGGGTGCCAATATTTCTGGCCATGACTGTACTTTTATTGGATTGTTGTTTTGGATGCAGTTTTGAAGAAAAACTTACAGTCCCTAAAATTTTGGTCCTATAGCAAGAACAAAAGCTTGTCTCTATTATGATTCTGCTTTCAAAGGCTGCCATACATGGCTTGATTTACTCTTGTTCTGCCAAAGGGCTGACTGAAAAAAAAAAAACAACTGATTCCACCATTCATGGTCACAGCTAGACAGAGAATCTCCACTACCAGCTATTGTATTCAGGCACCCAAGGTTGCAGAAATAATCAAACAGTGATGGCATCAAATAACATTCAGTCACTGATTGGCCAATAGACTTTCACCTGGCTTAGTTATTTTTAAATCGACATTTGTTGAGCCAGGGGGTGCTTACCAATTCAGGTGAATTTAGCCGAAATTTGAGCTGTCTATGGGGAGTGGAACTTCACTCTCTCAGTCAACATTGACTATTTTTAGTCCTTATGCTGCTAGCATTAGTAAATAGATAGGAAGGTAGGTATATTAGGTTTATTTGTTCTGAACTTTTTTTTTTACATATCTTCAGTCACTTCCTGGTTTCCATGCCTAGGCAAATGATGTCTTACATCCCAGGAGTCTACAAGAAGGGAGGAGGGCTTTCTCAGCTAAGCATACCCTCCTGCCTGTATGTCTGAGCTAAGGGCAGATGGATTTCAGATTACAGCAAGTACATTTATCTGCCCCACTTAAGATGACCACTTCTAGAAATGCTAGAGGGGTGTTTTCTCAGCAAAATAAAGCATGAAGACTTGGATGGATGGGAGAGTTTGCTTTGAATATTACAAATTAATTAAGTAGCATTTTTGGTTTGTGCTGCTGAGATGCAGTGTAGTTCCCCTTTAAGGGTTCCAGACAGCAAACCTATCCCTGTACAAAATGTGTTTATATCCAGAAGTGCACTTTCTCTGATCTGTTTGAAACACCTACAGTAAGTATCTTCTATATGTCTACTGCCCCAGTAACTTACCAGCTATAGAGAGAACAGCATCAAAGGCATCATCACGGTATGGCAGCTGAAGTCCATCACACACCATTACTTCATAATTCCGGTTTCTTGCAGCTTCTGCCAGTGGTAAGCAATAATCAGATCCTATTTTAAAAGTCTGATTGTTGATATGCAGATATTTCCCATTTCCACAGCCTGAAATCAATGCAAAATCCATTACTGTACTGGGCATGTTTCATATGAAATAAATGTTATATTTGGTTACTGGAAAACTGCAGTGTGCATAGGTTTTTGGGTAAAGTGGACCTGAGTTTAAATTGGTTCTAAAGGCAGGACATTTTTTACCAAGTGGATGTAAACCCTTACATATATCTAGTGAAATGGCTGGCCTTGGGTGATACACAGAGATGAAACAAATCCTCCTACATAAGTTATCTGTTTATCTGCAGTCTTCTCTTCTCTACCTTCGTTTAAAGGGCTGAATTTATAAAGCTGTTTGAGAGTTTAGTAAAGAGTGGTCAGAGCTGAAATTACACTCTGCAGCGCTCAGTGAGGAGAGCTCTGGGAGCTGATTGGAGGGGAGAGACACACCCTCTCCACGCAGCTCACAGGAACAGAGCTGAGGCTGCCAATCTTCTGGAGGTCCATCCACTGTCATCATTTTCTCTTGGTGTCAGGAAAACTTGTCAGAAATAATTCATACTGATGCAGAGGAACTAACAGAAATTACACTTATTGAGACAAGTACACACTTTAGAGGGATATGCTTTGTTCAAATTTCACGTCTAAGAATTACAACCACTTGAATGCATTCCCTGCATCAAGGTAATAAATGTCCTAGTATTTGTGTCACTCCCTCACCTCCCTAAATACTTACCTTACCCGAGTCCTATCTTGATCCGGCGCTGTGACAGAGTGCAGCAGAGTTGCTCTCCCCACACAGGACTCAGTGAGAGCAGCGGGAGCCATTGTCTCCTGCAGGTGTCAATCAAATCCTGTAAGGGGGAGGGGCAGGGCCGAGCCGTGCTGTGGGTATCCATAGACCCACACAGCTCTGCTTGGGAGTGAGCCTGCAGCTCCATATAAAGCAGCTTCCTCTGGTGGTGCACCGAGAAGCTGGTAACGCCAGGGGTTCCCAGAGCAGGTAAGTAAAACATGTATTATTTTAGGAAAAAAAAAAAAAAACAACTTTACAATCCCTTCAGGCAGAACTCCAGGCATTCAAATTTCCATCTTTTTCTCTATTTAGAATTTGGAATGATACATTTACATTTTGGGACAAATTTGCTCATTACCTTTGCAAGTCCTGATTTGATGTTTGCAGTGATACAATCTATCCGTGCTTCATTACTTCTCATTGACAACAATACACTGCCCATTAGACTCGCATCCCATTTCAAACATTGTTCATAGAGATTACAACACAATGCTACTGAGCCATTTAGGGCTCCCTCTAGTGTCCAATCTACAATTCTATATTTATTACAATAACAAAAATATAGAAAAGCAAGCATGTAATATTATACAGGTGAAACTTCAAAAATTAGAATATCGTGCAAAAGTTCATTTATTTCAGTAATGCAACTTAAAAGGTGAAACTACTATATGAGATAGACACATTACATGCAAAGCAAGATAGTTCAAGCTGTGATTTGTCATAATTGTGATGATTATGGCTTACAGCTCATGAAAACCCCAAATCCACAATCTCAGAAAATTAGAATATTACATGCAATCAAAAAAGCAAGGATTGTACATAGAACAATATCGGACCTCTGAAAAGTATAAGCATGCATATGTACTCAGTACTTGGTTTGGGCTCCTTTTGCAGCAATTACTGCCTCAATGCGGCGTGGCATGGAAGCTATCAGCCTGTGGCACTGCTGAGGTGTTACGGAAGACCAGGATGCTTCAATAGCGGCCTTCAGCTCTTCTGCATTGTTCGGTCTCTTGTCTCTCATCTTTCTCTTGGCAATGCCCCACAGATTCTCTATGAGGTTCAGGTCAGGCGAGTTTGCTGGCCAATCAAGCAAAGTAATCCCATGGTCATTGAACCAGGTTTTGGTGCTTTTGGCAGTGTTGGTAGGTGCAAATTCCTGCTGGAAAATGAAGTCAGCATCCCCATAAAGCTCGTCTGTGGAAGGAAGCATGAAGTGCTCCAAAGTCTCCTGGTAGGTGGCTGCGTTGACCATGGACCTAATGAAGCACAGTGGACCAACACCAGCAGATGACATGGCTCCCCAAATCAACACAGACTGGAAACTTCACACTGGACTTCAAGCATCTTGCAGTGTGTGCCTCTCCATTCTTCCTCCATACTCTGGGTCCTTGGTTTCCAAATGAGATGCAAAAGTTACTCTCATCAGAAAAGAGGACTTTGGGCCACTGAGTGACAGACCAGGTCTGTTTTTCTTTAGCCCAGGTAAGATGCTTCTGACGTTGTTGGTTGTTCAGGAGCAACTTGACAAGAAGAATACGACATTTGAAGCCCATGTCCAGGATTCGTCTGTGTGTGTGATGGCTCTTGATGCACTGACTCCAGCCTCAGTCCACTCCTTGTGAAAGTCCCCAACACTTTTGAATTGCCTTTTCCTGACAATCCTCTCCAGGCTGTGGTCATCCGTGCTGCTTGTGCACCTTTTTCTTTCACACTTTTCCCTTCCACATAACTTTCTATTAATGTGCTTTGATACAGCACTTTGGGAACATCCAACTTCATTTGCAATTACCTTTTGAGGCTTTCCCTCCTTATGGAGGGTGTCAATGATGGTTTTCTGTACAACTGTCAGGTCAGCAGTCTTTCCCATGATTGTGATTCCTACTGAACCAGACTGAGAGACCGTTTAAAGGCTCAGGAACCCTTTGCAGGTGTTATGGCTTAATTAGCTGATTAGAGTGGGACACTTTGAGCCTAGAATATTGCACCTTTTCACAATATTCTCATTTTCTGAGATTGTGGATTTGGGGTTTTCATGAGCTGTAAGCCATAATCATCACAATTATGACAAATCACAGCTTGAACTATCTTGCTTTGCATGTAATGAGTCTATCTCATATATTAGTTTCACCTTTTAAGTTGCATTACTGAAATAAATAAACTTTTGCATGATATTCTAATTTTTCGAGTTTCACTTGTAAATATCTTCTGTAGTTTGTACATATTTTAATTGGTGTTCCTATTCTGACGAAATGTTAAAAGAGAAGAATGGGCTTTTTAAAAATAAAAATTATATTTACTTTGGTGGATGCAGCATTGGTCCAATGCTGCACCTGTCATCTGCCACTTCTAAGACTGAGAATTAAGCAAAGACCGCTGATCGCTCAGTTCTCAGATTTCACTGAGCAGAGAGCTGCTGACTAACAGTCACCGACTCTCTGCTCTGCCCCTCCAGCACTCACCGATGCATCAAGCTTGGGAGGGGTGGGAGCAGCTGCCTCAGTCACCCATCAGTGTAGCTGAGGGAATGTGCCAACTGCTGGTATAGGCATCTGGGTGGATTCTGACTTTAAAGTCAGGATCTTTCCTAAGCCTGCATTGGTTGAGTGAAGTCAGCTCACAGCGGCTTCTTTCAGCAGAAAACGGGTCACAGGAGTGAAGAACAAAGTGCACCCTATAATCCATAGAAGAAGTAGGGCCCAAAAAGCTTGGCCATACTTCCCCTTTAATGTTGTTGTTTGGAATTCAGAGCTCACAGTAGTGAAAGCTTCTAGTTCCGAGACCACTCCTGGTCTAATTGAACAATTGTGAAGCAAATGACATGGTGAACACATGAGGTTTGTAAGTAAACAAACCTGGCAGGCAAAAATTGTAAGCTATTCCCCTAGCTTCTCCTACTCTTTCATAAAAGAAATACAGTGTGAAATCTGCACTAGCCTGGTGACTACATTTCCTATTATAAAGGTTGGAAACATCGTACCTCTAAGTAGGTCTTCTTTTTAGGTTCCATTTGTTTTAAAGCTGTAATAAAGTCCACTTTGTGACTTGTACCTATAATGAGGCTTACCTGTAAGTACAATGAATATCTCCAAAATGTGTACCGTTTAGGAGATATTCACATTTGTAGCGAAGTCTCCAGCACACGCACACTGCATGTATGGCAAACTGGAGTATGCCGTCCATTGAAAGTTCTGTGCGACAGTGACATCATCGCAGCCCAGCCATCCAGACGGCCGGAGTTCGCAAACTCAGACGGAAGACTGGGTGAAGATGGAAGCTCCAACAACAGTGACAGCACACCTCTGGAGGGTTTCATTTTGAGGTCTGAAGTCTGTCATAATGTATAATGGCTTAAAAACCACCCAACAAGGGCCCGCTTTTCTTTTTAATCAAAGACTTTACTACTGTTTTAAGTTAAATCAACCAAACGACACCACTTTTTAGTAAAAAAAAAACAACTTTATTTTTTATATACTGTAGGCTTCTGACATTTTCTTCCATCCATTGATGTACCAGTTTGACAGATACCCATATACGCTTACCTGACACAGACTGCTTGTATCATTCAAATAATTACAACCTTCAGCCTCTAATTTCACTCTTTTGATTCTTCAGCAAGAGGAAAATTAAAAGGCTATGTATTTAAATGAGTCATTACTGCTAATTGTTAGCAGCAATTGTTTTCCCTTGAATTGGAATCAAATTACTGTTGCCAGGCTGTGTGTAATTTTGCTGAAAATGTTTCTGATAAATTCTAGCCATACAAGAGAACAGAAAGCCTATTATTCAAAGTATAATACGTGTTTACGTTCACAAATAATGATTGCATTGAAATGTAAACTTTATCCTTTGGCATTGTATTAGCAAAGTGGAACAAGATTCGTTTGCTTAATTGGTATATTGTTTTCACGTGAAATATGTAAATTCTGGCCTGCATCCATATTTCTCCATGAGCTAGAAAGATTTCTGAAATTCAAAGTCTTATTTTTAACAACAAATTGGAGAGATCGTCCATGAGAAAATTAAAAATAAAATAAACAGTAGCCCACTTTCATAAACTACAGTATATGCCCAAAATATGAGGACACACCTGTAAATTATTGGGTTCAGGCATTGCCAGTGAAAGGTATGGTTAATGTTACAACGTACAAAGACATTTTAGGCAATTGTGCATTTTGAGCCTTGTGGTAACAGTTTGAGGAAGGCCCCTGTTTGTTTTAGCTTGGCTGTGCCAGTGTACACAAACCAGCTCCATAAA